TTCATATCTTTTTGTTAAAGTTCTCACTGAGGTCATTTAGTATCCTTACAATCAGTGTTTTGAATTCTTCACCAGGTAGATTGCTTTGTCTTCATTTTGTTTAGTTCTTTCTCTGGACTGTTCTTTTCTCTGTTCTGTTCTTTCATTTGAGCCATGTTTCACAGTCTCCTCATTTTGGCTGCCTCCCTGTGTTTGTGTGTATATGTTAGGTTGAACTTCTAAATCTCCTGGTCTTGGTAGAGTAGTCTTATGTCATAGGTGTTTTGTGGGGTGCACTATCACAGTTTCCTCAGTACCCAAGCTGGGAACTCCAGGTTTGTCCCCCATATTGGCTGTGTGCACCCTTCTATAATAGTTGAGCCTTGATTGCTGTTTTTATATCAGTGGAAAGGATTGATGTGCTAGTAAGTTGGCTGCAAGGACTAGTCTCATCTACAGTGGAGGAGCTGCTGTGAAGGGGCCACCGCTAGGAAGCAAGATTTGCTCCAGAGGAGCACTGGTGCCTGATGAGCCTGCCCCTTGAGTAGTTTGCTTTTTGAGGTTTTTGGGTTTGCTCCTGTGTGGTCTGAGGCTGTCCACAGGTACAGTGGCTCTGGAACCTCCTGGGAAGTGTAGGCCAAGGTCAGCAGTTGCCTGTGCCCTGCCCAAGGCCAGCCAGCATGAACTACAATGTGATCTCCATATGGCTTCTACTTGTGCTGGGCTTGGAGGTGCTCAGGACAGACTAAGCTATGAACCAAGGCCAGCTGCTACTAGTGCCATGCCTGAGGCCACTTAGCAAGAGGTACAGGGTATGCAAAGGCCAAATGCTGCTTGTTTGGAGTTTATGAACTTTTAACAGCTCTTAAGAAGGTTGGGAGTATGAGCCAAGACACTGTATTGAGAATCCACTGGAAGTGGCTTGGGTGGGTCCACAGTTTGGGTGGGGAGGGGTCTCAGGTAATCACCAGGGCAGGGTCAAGAGTGTTAGCCAGGTTGATGGAGACTCAGATATGGCTCTGTGGGGAGGCAGGAGAGAGTTTGCAAAAGAACAGGAACTTCCACCAGCATTTCAGTGTTCAAGAAAGCTGCCCCTCCAGCCCTTGCCCTGAAGCCAGGCAATTTATTTCCTCCTATGTCCCTGGTGCCTTTCTAGCTGCTGCCACAGCAATGGAGCTCAGAGCAAGCAAATCCGAGCAAGTCCATGCATGAGTTCTTTAAGAGGACTCCGGAAGCCCTCTGTCTTCCTCAGTGTCTATCACTGCTGGTTTTTAGAGCCAGAGTTATGGGGACTTCTCTTCCTGGCACTGGAACCCTGGCGAAGGGGTGAGGTGTAGGGTGCTGGTGTGGGGCTGGGACTCTTCACTCCTCATTGGGGGACTTTTGAAACTGAAGTATCCCTCCTGATTTTTAACCACCACATGTGAGTGTGGGGCCAGCCTGTTCTGCCTTTCCACTCCACCTACTGGTCTTGGTGTGGCTTATTTACATCCTTAGTTATTGGACTTTTGTTCAGCTAGATTCTAGGCACTTTCAATGATGGTTATTCTGTAGTTTAGTTGTAATAGTGCTGTGGTTGTGGAAGAATGTGAGTATGGTACTTACATATGCCACCATCTTGACTGGAAGCTCCTTTTGTCCTTTTTTAAAAAACAATTGTCACCTGAGGATATATTTATTGATTTTAGAGGGAGGAAGTAGGGAGGCAGGAAGAGAGAGAGTGAGAGAGAGATAGAGAGAAGCATAGATTAGTTGCTTCTTGTATGTGCCTTGACTGGAGATCAAACCCAAAATCTAGATATGTGCTCTGTCTGGGGATCAAACCTGCAACCTTTTGGTGTACAGGACAATGCTCCAATTGAGCCACCCAGCTAGGGCTCCTTTTGCCATTTTTAATGGGGTTGTTTGTTTTGTTAATGAGTTGTAAGAGTTCTTTATTTTGAATATTAACCTCTTATCAGATATATGCTTTACAAATATTTTCTTCCATGTGAGCTGTCTTTTTGTTCTCTTGATAGTAACCTTTGATGTACAGTTTTTAAATTTGATAAAGAACATTTAACCTATTTTTTCTTTTGTTTTGTATCCTTTTGGTATTGTATCATTGCCAAATCATTGCCAAATTCAAAGTTGTGAAGATTATCCCTTATTGTATTCTAAGAGTTTTAACATCTCAGCTCTTATATCTCAGCTTTGGATCCATTCTGAGTTAATTTTTGTATATGGTATAAGTATGTGGATATCCAAATATACCAGCATCATCAGTTGAAGAGACCATTTTCTCCTGCTGAGTGGTCTTGGCAACCTTGTCTCAAATCAACTAGAGATATATCTGAGGGTTTCTTTCTGGGCTTGCTATACTATTCCAATTATGTGTATGGCTGCCTTTATGACAGTACTGAACTGTTTTGATTACTGTGGCTTTGTAGTAAATTTTGAAATCAGGAATGTAAATTCTTGAACTTTGTTTTTCTTTCAAAACATTGTTTTGGCTACTTGGGATTCCTTTAGATTTTATTCAAATTTTAGGAGAAGTTTTTCTTTTTCTAAAAAAACACTACTGAGATTCTGATAGGTATTGCATTGAAATTGTAGGTAGCTTTGGGAAGTATTGCCATCTTAATAATATTAAGTCATCAATCAATGAGAATGGGATGCCTTTCTATTTATTTGTCTTCTTTCATTTCTTCAGGTAATGACTTTTAGTTTTCAGTTTCAAGCCTTTTACTTTCTTTTTTTTGGCTTTTTAAAAAAATATATTTTCCTGGCTGGTGTAGCTCAGTGGATTGAGCACAGGTCTGCGAACCAAAGGATCGTGTTTCAATTCCCAGCCAGGGCACATGCGTGGGTTGCAAGCCAGTTCCCTGCAGGCCAGTTCCCAGCAGGCCAGTTCCCAGCAGGGGGCGCACTAGAGGCAACCATACATTGATGTTTCTCTCCCCCTCTCCTTCCCCTCTAAAGATAAATAAATAAATAAATATTAAAATACATATATATATTTTTATTGACTATGCCATTACAATTGTCCTATTACCCCCTTCATTCCCCTCCACCCTGCACCCCCCACCATTCCCCCCTTTAGTTTATGATCATGTGTCTCAAGTTCTTTAGATTCTATATTTTCCATACTATTCTTGCCCTCCCCCTGTCTATTTTTTATCTACCATCTATGCTACTTATTCTCTGTACCTTCTCTCCCCTTCTCCTATTCCCACTCCCCTGTTGCTAACCCTCCATGTGATCTCCATTTCTATGGCCCTGCTCCTGTTCTAGCTGTCCTCTTAGTTTGCTTTTGTTTTAGGTGTGGTTGTTAATAACTGTGAGTTTGCTGTCCTTTCACTGTTCATCTTTTTTATCTTCTTTTTCTTAGATAAGTCTCTTTAACATTTCATATAATAAGGGTTCAGCGATGATGAACTCCTTAAATTTGACCTTATCTGAGAAGCTCTTTATCTGCCCTTCCATTCTAAATGAAAGCTTTGCTGGATAGAGCAATCTTGGATGTAGGTCTTTCGATTTCATGACTTGGAATACTTCTTTCCAGCCCCTTCTTGCCTGTAAGGTCTCTTCTGAGAAATCTGCTGACAGTCTGATGGGGACTCCTTTGTAGGTGACTGTCCCCTTATCTCTTGCTGCTTCTAGGATTATCTCCTTCATTTTAATCTTGGCTAATATAATTATTACATGCCTTGGTGTGTTCCTTCTTGTGTCCAACTTCTTTGGCACTCTCTGAGCTTCCTGGATTTCCTGGAAGTCTATTTCCTTTGCCTGATTGGGGAAGTTCTCCTTTATTATTTGTTCAAATAAGTGTTCCACTCATGAGTGTTTCTCTTCCCCTTCTAGTACCCCTATAATTCGTATGTTGGAACATTTAAAGATGTCCTGGAGGTTCCTAAGCCTCTCCTCATTTTTTGAATTCTTGTTTCTTCATTATTTTCTGTTTCTTCCTTCTGGTCATTTGTTTCCTCCTTCTGGTCCACACCATTGATTTTTTTTCCCCAGGTTCCTTCCCATCACTATTGGTTTCCTGTGCATTTCCCTTCATTTCACTTAGTTTAGCCTTCATTTGTTCCTCTAATTTGTGACTAAAATCAACCAGTTCTGTGAGCATCCTGATCACCAGTGTTTTGAACTGTGCATCTGATAGGTTGGCTATCTCTTAGTTGCTTAGAATTATTGGCTCTCGGGCTTTGAGCTGTTCTTGAGCCATAATGTTTTGGTCTGTTCACACCAGTTAAGTATGAGGAGCAGAGCCTTAGGTGTTCACCAGGGTGGGGTGACCCAGTTGCTGGGTTGTGATGCTGTATGTAGGGGCAGGGTCAGAGAGGGGCAATGGTGTTTGTTCTGCTCTTTCCCGGATTTTGGCCCCCTCTGCTGCTTCCTGCAAGCAAACCTGGTTCCCCTGGTGCCAGCTCCCACGTGTGTGAGCCTGTGCACCCTCCAGGATCCTGTGGGTCTGTCCAACAAACTCTCTGTGAGCCCGAGAGCCTATCCTGTTTTTCCAATTGGTGCTTTTAGGCTTTAACTCCCATTGCTGGGGCCCTAGCCTGTGTGGTCTGTCTCACTCCTCACTCCTTCACCTGGTTTTATCTGCATGTGAATGTGGGACCACGGTCAGCCAGCTGCCTTGCGCCCTCACTGGGTCCACCTGTTGCCACCCCATGCCTGGGATGCACTAACTACTGCCTGCACTCCTGGGTGGGTCTGGCAATTTTTTCTGCCCGACCCCACTCTGCCAGCCACTGACTCCGCCCCTGTTACTGGTCTGGCTGAACAGTTCATTGTTGTTGGACTTCTGTACAGTTCAATTTTCTGTGTTTTGGTTGCATTTTTGTTACTAAAACTTTGTTGTCTTTAAACTTGGTTGTGCGAGAAGGCACAGTGTTTCCACCTATGCCTCCATCTTGGCTGGAAGTCCCTTTTACTTTCTTGACTAAATTTATTCTTAGTACTTATTGTGCTTGATGGTACAGTCAATAGAATGGTTTTCTTAATTTCCTTTGTTCATATATAATTTGTTTTCTTGGTGCACCATTCCTGGTATAATTGCAATACCAAGTCAATGTGCAGAGTGACAGAGGAAGCCCCTATTCCATCTCCCAACTCCAAAAATCCATTTAACATAATGTCCTTGGTTAGAGTACATATCAGATATTAAACTGATAAGAACAGACACTACATTTGATGTTAGACAAAAGGCTGAGAAGCTGTGTTAATTTATAATTTTACTGCCTTCATTTAGTTCTGTGTTGATTTTTTCCTTTTATCTGGTAATTAACTTTATTTCTTTAAATGAACAATGTTTCCTGTTTTCTTTGTATGTTCCATGATTTTCTTAGTTAAAAATTGGACCTTCGCTATTGTTATAATGTGATAACTCTGGGAACCAGATTCTTCCACTTCCCTAGGGGTTGAGATTGTTGGTTTTTTGTTTTGTTTTGTTTTGTTTTGCAGGGGTGTGCTTTTTGACTGTTGAAAGCCATAGCCATATTCCTTTGCTTTGAGATTTTGTGATTTTTTTTTTGCAAAGACTATTGTTTGTCATGTGTATTCATTGAAATTCTGACCCTGTGGCTCATGTTCAATTACTATTTTGACAGGAACTCAAACAAACAAATGAAAACATCAACAACAACAAAAAAGAGAGACGAACAACCACTGTATAGATGGGCTCTGCATTTGGGCTCTTGTCACCACTCAGCTGGGCCTGCTCTGAGCCTAGGGGTCATCAGCCTGATGTGAAAGCTTAAGGTCTTCTCAGGGCTTTTCTTAGCATACATCTCGCCCAGACATGTGCATGCTTTCTAAACTACCCCACATACATGGTTGTCTTGAATATCCAAATTCCTCACGTCCACCCAGAATCTTACCCCAGCTTCTCCTCCAGATTCCTATGGTCCCTTGTGGTTCTCCACCCATAATCTCGTGCCTCAGGCACCTTAGTTTTGCAACCTGCCTGGCAGCTTCTATGAGCAGTGCCTGCTGCTCTTCCTGCCCATATTCTTACTTCTGTGAAATGAATGCCTTGCTTCAGTCCTCAAGGCGTCCCCAGACAAGTTAGAAATATGTACACAATAATTATTATTTTACTTTAAAACATTTTTTATAAAACAAAGAAAGAACAAGTAGATCTTGTATTGCAAGTGAAAAACAGTTTCATTTGCCAAAAACAGAAGGCAGTTATAACCATAATTATACTACAAAGAAAACAATATTTTTAAATTCTAGCTAAATCTTGATCCTGATAAAAGCTCTGATCTTGAAACTTAGTTTCCTCTTGGTAGTTCCAGAGTTTTAAAAAACACATCATAGAGTCTTAATGATAAAATCACAATAAAAAGGTGTATGATTCAATGTTTTTTAAAAGTGTTTTTTTACTGGAACCTTGCAAAATCATTTCATGTTCTGTAAGAGGGCCGATCCCAACACATTGCTTAGTGGTTCAAATACCAGTGCTCCCACTGACCTCACTGACATGGAGCAAGTTACTGTGCCTCTCTGAGCATCAGTTTCTTCTTCTGTTAATGTCAAGCTCACACAAAACCTGTGCACGGATGTTCATAGCAGTGTTAATCATGACACCTAAAACTAGAAACAACCCAGATGCCCTTCTGTGGGTCAATGGTTAAACTGTGGTTCATCACTTACCTAAGATACTGTTCAGCAATAAATAGCATCAGTGTATTGATGGACAAAACAGCCTGGATGAATCTCTGGAGAATTATACCGAATGAAAAAAGAAAGATGAGCCACTCACAAAAGATTACATGCTATATGATTCCACTTAGGTACCATTCTTAAAATGACATAATTATAAAACTGGAGAAAAGATTAGTTACTGTGAAGGGGTTAGCGATGTGGAGGCAGGAGGGAGAGGGAAGAGGAGGGAGGTGGATGTGTATATACAAGAGCAATATGAAGGGTCCTGGCGAAGATGGGACTGACTGAGGTGGTTGATACCCAAATCTACACATCTGATAAAATTGCACAGTTCTAAATACACTCTCTCTCACACACACAAGTGAGTACAAGTGAAACACTGGGGAGGTCTGAGTGAGATTGGTGGCTTGTAGCAGTGTCAATATCCTGGTTGTGATATTGAAGTATAGTTTTGCAACATGTAACCATTGGGGAAACATAATAAGGTGTACATGGAATCTCTCTATTATTTTTATAATTGCATGCAAATCTACAATTATCTTTAAAGTTTAATTTTAAAAGTACCAGCCCCATTAACTTTCTTTGAGGATGAGATGAGATAGTACTTGGGGAAGAATATTTGTTCAGTAAATGTTTATTGACACCTCCCATTTGTTCAGCTACTGTGTTATACTGGTATTAGTTGTCAGTGTATTTTGTGCACAAAGTGACCAGTGGCATGCACTGAATGTTTGCACGTGGAGAAAATGGACTCAGAGAGATGACAAAAGTTGCACTAGTGCCTCAGAGAGTAAGAAGCAGTATACTCACCCAGATCTGAGTCCCAGGTGGCAGCACAGCCTGTCTAAACTCACTGCCTTCAACCAGAGTGCCGTTTTCTTTGCAGAACAACCCAGTGAAGACAGCCCAAAAGGAGTATGGGGACGTTTTCAACACTGGGGACAAAGCAACTATGAATGAATAGGGCTATATCTGATTCCTGGGGAGGGATGATGACACCGTCAACCCTTCTGGGTAGGTGTGGCTGACCTGAATCCCAGAGGCATCACTTTACAGGCCTGGCGGGATCTAGCTTGCCTCATCATTCCTCCATGCATTGGTGGTGGGACTCTCAGCCTACTCTTGTGGAGCCATGTCTATGGAGTGCTGGCCCAGGGTATCTGCGCATCTCTCCCAACATCAGTATAAAGTTCAAGAAGGACTGGAAAGTGCAACCACAATAACACATCATGCAATTTAAAGAGGGGGGATAAGACCGGGGCAGGATGACTTATTTTGGCCCTTATTAGTCCCCGTTGGTTGGGGGAAATTATTCTCTATGCTCCTCTAATTGGCACAAGACACGTGTCACAAAAAACAACAAGAAAAAATGATAGTAATAGCAGCTAGACTTTATGTAGTACTTACTTGGTGAAAGTACTTATCTTAGTGTTTTGTATACCTCAGTAGATGTCATTATTATGCCCATTTTACAGATGAGAAAACTGAGTCACTGACCAGTAAAATAAGTTGCTGAAAGTTTCCAAGATAGTGTAGGGTAAAGTCCAATTTGACCTGAAGTAGTCTGGCTCCCAGCCCGTTGTCCCAAACACATGATTTAAGTGGGGGGAAATGACACAAGTAGCAACTTCTTTTGGATACACCAGAGAAATTAAGTTTGTTTTACTTTTTAAATTTCTAAATGAATTGCTGATGTTGTGCACTAGGAGGGATAATTTCTCTGAATGTTCAGGACAAAATTTGACTCTCCCAAGAGTGTAAGAGTGGGGGTTTTCCACCCCCAACCCAATGGCCCTCAGCAGAGGGAGGGAAGCAGTAAGGAGAGAAACTCTGGCAGCATGCTCAGGTCTTCACATTTTGGTTCCACTACACAGCCCTTGCACAGTTCTCTGGTTCTCATGACACTTGCCCTCTGTACCAGGGGAAGCTGTGACCATCCTAAACATCAGATTGGAGGACCCGGGTCGCTCCAGCCCTGGCATCTGCTCAGAACCAGAGCGGGAATCTTTGGTCCCACAGGTAACACACTGGGCCAGCAGAGGTGGAAAGCACCCTGGTCAAACATCTGGCGGTGGTGGGGTCAGCTGTGGTTGGCAGCCTGGACTCAATTCAAGGAGAGGTGAGGACAAGGAGGTCATTGCATCTGTGTGTGGGCACTGGAAGGCTGTGTGGAGAAACTTTGCAGAGGGTAGTTGGTGTGTGCTTTGCACTTACACTGTGGGCAGCAAGAGGCACTGGTGGCATCATCTGTGACCATATAATCCCAACCAAGAATGTTCGTTTTGATAACAGCTAATATTTGGTGGGCCCTTACTATGTGCTGGCTCATTTAACCACACAACAACCTAGTGAGTTCAAAAGTCTTTTTAATGGATACAGAGATGGGCATAAAGAAGTTAAATAACTTGCTCAGATTACACTGTGGTAGAGCCAGGATGGAAATCTGAGAACTCTGGTTCCGGTGCATTCATTGACTGAACAATGTTTATTGATCACCTACTACGTACAAGCCCCTGTGCAATTAAATGGGGACATAAATGACAATATAAAAACAATAATTTACCAACAATTATTCAATGCTCACAGGGTTCCAGGCAGAGAAGTGTACATACATTAATACTAAAAATGATGGTAATGATGAGAGTAATAATAATAAAGTTAAACCAGCTGCATATTTTATATACATTATCTTGTGGAATCTATCTATAAGCCCACTGAGAGATGAATCTGTACTGTCTGCATGCCACAAGGAAGCGATTTGAAGTTAAGTAATTTTCCATGGCAGAGTGGAAATTGGAAGTGTTTGGAATTGAACCAGGTCCTGTCCTCTTCCAAAGGCTCAAGTGTCTACTAGTTTTTCCATTTATTACATAAACATTTACTTTTCTGCATTGCGGGTGGTGAAGACTTTTATTGTCCTGGCCCCACAGTTCCTATCCCATGACCTGGACCAGCTCACCGAGGAGCTGCAGCAGTACGTGAAGTCGGTGACAGCCCCATACAAGTACCCAAGGAAGGTACGTGAGGGCAGATGATCCATGCCCTTCCCGAGCTCTGCTGCCCCAAGTCTGTTAGGGGAGCTGGGTGATGCTTAAACGGCAAATAGAACTAGTATTTTTCTCTTCAGGGGAAGCAATTCCATTTAGGGGTGGAGTGCAGCCAACTGAATGAGACAGAACCTTTACCCTGGGTTGGAAATCCCAAAAGGAATCCATTGCTAGCACGTTAACTTGAGGGGGGAAAAAAACAGACAAGTGTCCAAAGCTATCCAATAGGGTTATTTAAAATCTTTTAAAATTTGAAAAAAAAATCCAAATCAGCAGCTTCCAAACTATTTTTTAACATAATTCACAGGAAAAAGAATTTGATACTGCAACTCAATACTTATTTACATACACTGCAAATGAATGTTAACAAAATTGTATTTATCCTTACAACTTGCAGTCCATTCTGATCATTTTAATTCTACTGCATTTGTTTTAAATGTGTGCAAATAACAAAAAGTCCAACAATACAGAAATTATTAAATTATTTGTGAAATGTAATATTATACTGTAATTTAAAGTGATGTAGAATTTTAAAATTTATTTATTTTAAAATATATTTTATTGATTATGCTGTTACAGCTGTCCCAATTTCCCCCCTTGTACTCCTCCACCCAATAACCCCCTTTACTCCAGCAATCCTTCTTTTAGTTCATGTCCATGGGTTCTGCATATAAGTTCTTTGGCTACTTCATTTCCTATACTGTTCTTAACATGTCCCTGCCTATTCTGTAACTTCTTATTTGTAGTTCTTAATCCTTGCACCTTTTCTCCCATTCTCTGCCTTCTCCCTCCCAACTGGTAACCATCCAAATGATCTCCATATTTATGATTCTGTTCCTATTCTCTTGTTTGCTTAGTTTGTTTTTTAGGTTCATCTGTTGATGGTTGTAAGTTTATTGCCATTTTAATGTTCATAGTTTTGATCTTCTTTTTCTTAAATAAATCCCTTTAATATTTCATATAGTAATGGTTTGGTGATGATGAACTATCTCTTTTAGCTTTACCTTGTCTGGAAAGTGCTTTATCTGCCCTTTGATTCTAAATGATAGCTTTGTTGGTGCAGTAATCTAAGTTGTAGGTCCATGCTTTTCATTGCTTTGAATACTTGCCAATCCCTTCCAGCCTGCAGTTTCTTTTGAGAAATCAGCTGATAGTCTTATGGGCACTCCTTTGTAGGTAAGTCTCTGTTTTTCTCTATCTGCTTTTAAGATTCTCTATCTTTAACTTTTGGCATTTTAATTATGGTATGTGTTGGAATGGGCCTCTTTGCATCCATCTTGTTTGGGACTTTATGTGCTTCCTGTACTTGCATGTCTATTTCCTTCACCAAATTAGGGAAGTTTTCTTTCACTATTTTATCAAATAAGTTTTCAATTTTTTGTTCTTTCTCTCTCCTTCCAGCATTCCTATGATTCAGATGTTGGTGTGTTTGAAGTTGTCCCAGAGGCTCTTTACACCAATCTTGTTTATTTGGAATCTTTTTCTTCTTGCTGTTCTGATTGAATGTTTTTCTTCCTTATGTTCTAAATCATTGATTTGATTCTTGGCTTCATCCACTCCACTGTTGATTCCCTGTAAATTTTTATTTATTTCACTTAGTGTAAACTTTATTTCTGCCTGAGTCTTTTTTTTTTATGATGTTGAAGTACCCAGTAAGTTTCTTGAGCATCCTAATAACCAGTGTTTTGAACTCTGTATCTGATAGATTGCTTATTTTCATTTTGTTTAGTTCTTTTTCTGGAGTTTTGTTCTGTTCTTTCATCTTGGCTACATTTCTTTGTGTCCTCATTTTGGCAGCCTACCTGTGTTTGTTTGTATGTAGAGCTGCTTTGATTTTCTGTTTTAGTAGCATGGCCTATTGAGGAAAAGCACACCCTTAAGTTGAATGGGGTGGAATCTTAGGTAATTGCCTGAGAGTGGACCAACCTGTGTAAATCAGATTGATAGAGTAACAGATATGGTACCACACTCTGTAGCTCTGTGGTGGGGAGGGCTCAGAAAAGGGGCAATGGCTGCCACCTAGCCTCTGGAGTTTTGTCCGGGAGGAAGTTGTCCCCTAGCACTTGCCCTGATGCCAGACACTTCAGTTTCTCCCTATGTGCCAGTAGTGCCTTTTGAGCTGTTGCCCCAGTGCTAGAGCCCAGAGGGAGTGAATCTGCATAAGTCCTAAGTATGTTGCAGGCACTTTAAGAGGAGATGCCTGAGAATCTTGTCAGGTCAGAGTTGCTCAAGAAACCAGATGGATGCAGTGAGCCAAGGAGCAGGGTTTATTAGCAGGAAATAAGAGGGGGAAGTAGCCAAGGGAGGTTAAGACTCACTTGGTTGTTCTTAGGGCAGGGTTTTTAAGCACAAAAACCCGGGAAGGGTAACTGTGGGGTTTCAGAGTCTGATTGACTAGAGTTGGTTGCTGGCTGCTGTTTCTGCTGACCATTGTTCTTGTCAAGCCTTGGGTTAAAGCTGCATCCTGCTATGCCAGATAGGCTGACCCCAGACCCAAATCTTAGCCAAGCATCTGTTTGTCCTGGGTAGAGTCAGCAGGCAGTATCCCATAGTACAGTTTCCCACCTGGTGATTTTCCATTCCTCCTTGGCCTGCCTAGGTCTGTCAAATCCCACAGTTCCTTCCGCTGCTCCAACTCCCACTGGTTTTTATAGCCAGAAGTTGTGGGGACTTATCTTTGTGACACTGGAACCCTGTAGTGCTGGGGGGTGTGATGTGGGGCTGGGATCCCTCATTCCTGAGGTATTCCTCCCGATTTTTATCCACCACATGTGGGTGTGGGACTGCCCATTCTGCATCTCTGTGTCTCTGCCCCTCCACCCCTCCTACCCTTCTGGATGAATGTGACTTCTCTAATTCCTTGGTTGTTGGTCTTCTGTACAGCTCGATTTTCTGATGATCCTGAGTGGTAGTTATTTTGTTATTTAGTTGTAATTTTTGCTGTGGTTGTGAGAGGAGGCAAGCCATATTTGCCTATGCCTCCATCTTGATTGGAAGTCCAATGATGTAGATTTAAATTTTATTTTATTTTTTTATTATTTTTAAACTTCACCCAAGAATATGTTTATTGATTTTAGAGATAGAGGAAAAAACATAGAAAGAAAGAGAGAGACATTGATATGAAAGAGAAACGCTGGGGGGACTTCTGCCAAGATGGAGGTGTAGGTGGAAACACTTTGCCTTCTCACATGACCAAATCTAAAAACAATAAAGTTTTAGCAACAATAAATGCATCCAAACCACAGAAAATTGAACAATACGGAGTTTGACAACAACAAACCACTCAGCCAGACTGGTAAGAGGGGCGGAGCCAGCAGCAGAGTGGCAGAGCAGGCAGCCAAAGGAGAATCCCAGGTGTGGGGTAGCGATGGGCGGACCCAGTGAAGGCGCAAGGCAGCTGACCGACCACAGTCACACATTTGTGCGCAGATAAACCATCAAAGGAGCGAGCAGTGGGATAGACCAGGCAGGCCCAAGCGAAGGGAAGGAGCAGAGAGGACTGCTATTGCTCCTTCTCTGACCCCACCCCCACATACAGCATCACAAACCAGCGACCTGGGTGGCCCTACCCTGCTGAACACTTAAGGCTCCACTCCTCATATGTAACAGGTGCAAACAGAGCAAAACATTATGGCTCAAGAAGAGCTCAGAGCCTGAGAGCCCATAAATCTAAGCGAACAAGAATTCGCCAACCTATCAGAGGCACAGTTCAAAACAATGGTGATCAGGATGCTCACAGAACTGGTTGATTTTAGCCACAGATTAGAGGAACATATGAAGGCTAAACTAATTGAAATGAAAGGAAATGCACAGGAAACCAATAGTAATGGCAAGGAAACTGGGACTCAAATCAAGGGAGTGGACCAGAAGGAAGAAAAAAATGACCAAATAGAAAAGAACGAAGAAACAAGAATTCAAAAAAATGAGGAGAGGCTTAGGAACCTCCAGGACATCTTTAAATGCTCCAACATCCAAATTATAAGGGTACCAGAAGGGGAAGAGGAACAGCCATGAGTGGAAAACTTATTTGAACAAATAATAAAGGAGAACTTCCCCATCCTGGCAAAGGAAATAGACTTCCAGAAAGTCCAGGAAGCTCAGAGAGTCCCAAAGAAGTTGGACCTAAGAAGGAACATACCAAGGCACATCATAATTACATTAGCCAAGATTAAAATGAAGGAGAGAATCCTGGAGATAATGGGACAGTCACCTACAAAGGAGTTCCCATCAGACTGTCAGCGAACTTCTCAAAAGAGACCTTACAGGCAAGAAGGGACTAGAAAGAAGTATTCCAAGTCATGAAAACCAAAGACCTACAACCAAGATTGCTCTATCCAGCAAAACTTTCATTTAGAATGGAAGGACAGATAAAGTGCTTCTCAGATAAGGTCAAGTTCAAGGAGTTCATCATCACCAAGCCCTTACTATATGAAATGTTAAAGGGACTTATCTAAGAAAAAGAAGATAAAAAATATGAACAGTGAGAGGACAGCAAACTCACAGTTATTAACAACCACACCTAAAACAAAAGCAAACTAAGAGGACAGCTAGATCAGGAGCAAACCATTGAAATGAAGATCACATGGATGGTTAGCAACAGGGGAGTGGGAGGAGGAGAAGTGGGGAGAAGGTACAGAAAATAAGTAGCATAGATGGTAGGTAGAAAATAGGGGGGAGGGCAAGAATAGTATGGGAAATATAGAATCTAAAGCACTTGAGACACGTGGTCATAAACTAAAGGGAGGGGAATGGGGGGAGGAGTGTGCAGGGTGGAGGGGAATGAAGGGGGAGAAATAGAACAACTGTAATGGCATAATCAATTAAATTAAATTAAATTAAAAATTTACCAATCAAAAAAAAAGAGAAACATTGATTGGTTGCCTCCTGTATGCACCCCAACTGGGAACTGAACCCACAACTTAGGTGTTTGTGCCCTGACTAGGGATTGAACCTGCAACTTTTTGGTATATGAGATGACATTCCAACCAACTGGACCACCTGACCAATGCCTAGATTTTTTATTTTTAACATAAAAATATCATCATAAATTATTGAGAGAAAAAAGCAAGCTATGAAAGAATATTAATACATAATATTATCACATTTGTTTATAAAGGAAGTTTGAACGGATACACATGATAACAAGGTAACATTTCCTACCATTGTCTGAATGTTTATAGTCATTGCATAGTGTAAAGCTATACAGCTAATAGTTACTGGATATTTACTACATGTGCCAGGCCCTCCATTCAATGCTTTAACATAAATTATTTTATTTAATTCTCTCCACAACCTGAGATAGTTTAACCATCTGTGTTATAGAGAGAAAACTGAGGCTCAGAGACTCAACATAAATTGCCTGAGAATGGAGTTAATAAAAGGCAGAGCTGGAACTCAAACCCATGCGTACCTGACAACAACAGATTCTTGCTTCTAACGTTAGGCTCTGCTGCCTCTAGAGAACAGAACAGAGGATGCTTACCAGTTAGGACAGAGTAGATGTTACTGTGGATACAAACAGCCCCAAAGCCTTCATGGCTTATACTGAGGAAGGTGTCTTCCCTGCTCATGCCACATGTCCACCCTGGTTTTCCTGAGACCAGGATAAAGGAGCAGCTCCCCTGTAGGTACCTGCCAGGTGCTATCAGAGATGTGGGGGGGGGCAGTCTCAATGCTTTCAGACTCTCTTCTGTTAGAGGTGACACCCTTCACACCTACCACACCATTGGTCACAGCATGTCACAGGGCTACAGCCAACTTCAGGGGGTCAGGAGGAGGATCTGACCTATTTGCTTTCTCCTCAACCAGGTGGAGTTTTTCCCCAAGCTGCCCAAAACCCTCACTGGCAAGATTAAAAGAAATGAACTTCCAAAAATGAAGTTTGGTCAGATGTAATTGGCAGTAAACTCAGAATCCGCTTCTGAGTGTTATGCTGGGTAAATCCTCAGCTGCCTTGGGTACCCCATCATGGTGGGGGTAAGGATGGGGATGTTAAGAGAGTTGCTTGGGAAGGGCACAGGGCAGCCAGCATTCCAGCATTTCTGTTCTTTCAATTTAACATCAGTCACTACCCTGCCTCCAGGTCTCTTATTCCTTTGGATTGACCAGACAAGTGCTCTAATTGGGGCTGAAGGTACTAAAGTGCTGACATCGGTGGCGATCCTGTGTTGTGCATTGATTCTGTGCATGGACCTAAGTGCAGTCCCTCCACACAGTTCTCCCCAGTCCTCAAAGGAGAGAGTGCAGGGCCTGATTCACCCTCCTGGCCCGGTGTCCCCAGTGTCCCTGCACATCTGGTAGATGACCAGGACCCAGAGGTCTGGGACTGATGCTCTGAGCAGCCCCAGGCACCTGCCGTTGCTAGGTCCCAGCCTAGGCCCCACATCGGCAAGTGAGTGACCTGCCTTCCAGGGACCAGGAGTTCCATAGGACTCTCCCATCCTTCTCCAGAGGTGCCCAGTACCTCATTCCTAGGAGGGACCAAGGGGCCTATATGTCTTACCTCTCTGCTTTCTGCCATGTGCATCCACCCACTCATTCCTTCCCAGAGATCCAGGATCCTCCAGCCCCTCTCTGAGGGCCCTGAGTGCTCCCCAAATAGACCCCCTCCACACTCTATAACTCCTTTCTACCATCAGTCTTCCCCAACCACCATCCCTGGGCCTGGAATTCTATGAACTGACTCTTTACTTCACCCTGTTCCTGGGACCTAAAATGAGACCCCGGGGAGACACCAGCAAATGGGAGGAGCAGGGGCAAAAGGGGCTCAGCCTGGGGGGCAGAAGAAACACATATTGTCTCCTTTTCCCTCACCTCTAGGAGTCACTGTTAGGGAGATTGCTTCTGCAGCTGCCTGTTGCCAGGGTGCACAGACTCACAGGGAAACATACAGACACCACAAGCACAGAGACACACAGGCACAGAACACCCTCAGCCTCACCTGGGCACTCAGGTGCAGGGCTCATGTCCAGGCTCACACAGACCCACACTGTAGACATGGGCAATGACACTGCTGAGGTCTTCAAATACAGATCCCATAGTGAAAGTGTATCATAAAAGTAAAAGGACACTGGCACATGACTAGAGTCTCAGTCATTCACTAGCCAGTCCACCATCTTATCATATGAAAATACTTCACAGGGTGAGCCCACTCAGGTCTGCAGGCTGCCATTCGATCTTGACAGGTTCCCAAAGCAGGAGAGGTCTCTGCAATATATGGCCCCAGCCTTTCAGGCAGACCTGGTATGATGAAGCCAAGAGACAACATCATCTCTTGCTCTGAGCCTCTTTCAAGGTGTGGATGTAATGTTAGATTTCCCTCGTGACAAAACACAGCCCATGTTTTCATTCCCTTACCCTCAGCCACTATTTTTGCTCGTCTGCATGTACACCCAGGTTCCTGTCTTTGGAATGAACGCTGGGGTTGCCACGGTGCTGGACTGGACTGTGGGCAGAGGTGCCGGTCTAGCCGTGCCCTCCCTCTGTCCACTCTGGTTCACACAGGGTAAGGTGGCAGGTGCAGAGCTACAGGGATATCTTTGCCACCAGGCAACATAGCTGCACTTGCTGTTAATCCCAGTCTGCCAGAGGGGGCGAAGGCCCTTCCTGTTCAATCAGGCCCTTGGGGATTGTGACATAAGGTTAAAAGCACAGTCCCAGTCTCTCACTTGGGAAACATCCCTGTTCACAGCCCTTGTAGCTGCAGCCCTGGTCCTGTGGCCACTGAATCAAGTAGCAAAACAATGTAGGTGACGTGGGAGAAGGAAGAACACCAGCATCCTTCCCACCCATCTCCCCAGATCCACCAGAGAAACACAGAAATCCACCCGGTGAGCACACTCCTTGACTCTCACTCATGTTCACACTGAGTGTGAGCACGCACTTGTGAAGGCCCTCATGCCTTTATCTCCTCCATTAGATGAGCAGTGTTTTCCAGCCCCCTCCTCACCCAGGGGGTACTGAGGAAGATGTCCCTGCTGATTGTTGAACACTGTTGGCTATGACGTGTGTCCTTGACCTGCATAAATGACACTTGGCCATTCAAACTGCTACGGTAGCTTCTGATGGGCAGGTTTGTCACTGTCCTCTGAGTTTTGCATCCACCACCAGAAAGGCAAGGCCAAGGCCAGGGCCAGGGTCCATTCCTGTCAACACCCATCTGTAGCCCCTGGCCACCAGCGTCGGTCTGACTTGCCGGCTCAGCTCAGAGCCTCCCCCCAGGAACTTCGTCACACGGCCATCTGCAGTCTCTGTGTCTTGCTGACGGCGCAAGTTCTTTTCGGCACTTTGCGCTGAGAGGACCAGGTCTGCATTCAGCCCGTCTGCATTGCTGCTTCTCCCACTGTCGTACTCCCTCACCACGACTTAGCTGCACACACATGCACAGGCACACACCGAGGCAGCTCAGGCTGATGCTTACTGTTGCTCTACTGTTTCCAGCCACTCCTGGGCAGTGTGTGTGACCCCAGGGGTGGCCTCCCCACCTAGCAGAAGGGTGGACTACAGGCTCTGGGCACTGCCGGGGCAGAATGAATTTGATTGTGGGTCCTGGAGGGAACCAGATGTTTCCAAACAATTCCTTCCCCTTGCTGGTGATAGGGGGGGTCCCTACACCATTGACCCATGCCCTGCCTGTTCCTCATAAGAAAATCATGGGAGGGTTATGAGAGCTCATGTGACTCACCAAGACAACTTCTGCTGCCATCACCCCCTCAGAGCCACTTGGCCTTGAGCTTTTGGGGTGCAGCTGGGTGAAAGGCACAAAGACTGCATGACCATATCTGCCCTCACTGGTCTCCTGGAGCCACCCCTGGCCACTCATCCCTTCCTCACCATCAGAAATGGGCCATGTCCTGGGGACGGATACTGCTCCCTCTGATCACGGTCTCCCCTGAGACTCACAGGGACCGTGTGCTCAGTGAGTGTCTGTTAACTGAATGATCACAGCCACCACCAGATCTAGACACAAGGTATGTTCGCCACCCAGAACGACTGCCCAGGCCCCGTGAAGCGAATACCACCCCAAAGGGGATGCTTGCTCAGCCCCTAATGCTACAGTTCCTGCTTATTTGTGAACTGTATGTCTCGAAGTCACACTGTGCACAGTGGAGGAGGAAGACAGGACAGACACAGAGCTGTGAAAGGTTTATTAGGGTGACACTACTAGAGACGAAAGCAGAGGGGGCATGTTTGGGCAGTGACACCGTCCCGACCGTAATGCAGAGGGCAGCCTTTCTGAGTGCAACTGGCACAGCCTGGTCGTCACGGCTCCGGGTCCTCTCGAAACTTTAAACAGATTGTTCTGTAAGGCAAGGAGTTTTGGGTTATTTCAATGTGACCTTTATTTCCTAACACATTTTGTCTTCTATTACATACCTGTGGCCTCTTCTGGACACTAGTCACAGTGGCACTGGTGTGTCTGCATATGATGGAAACTCACTGCCTTCGGACCTCAGACACAGATGTGAACTCACACATCCCCAGAAGAAATTTTTCCAGCTTTAACTAGTAGGACTGGAGTTAGGGATTGCGAATATCAGAGCCCGAGCTGCTCTACCTTTAGTTGTATTAAATGTATGCCAATGAACATCTTTTGATGATCTTTGTGGAGGCATTTTTTTCAAAAGACTTTATTTATTTGTTTTCAGAGAGAGGGAAAGGGGGGAAGAAAGAGAGGATAAGACACATGGATGTGTGAGAGAAACATTGATTGGCTGCCTCTTGCACATCCCCACCTGAGGACCAGCCTGCAAACCCAAGCAGGTGCCCTGACTGGGACTCAGCCTGGTGCGACCTTCCACTTTGTGGGCCTACGCTCCACCACCTGAGCCACACTGGCCAGGGCTCTGTGGAGATAGGTATTTACTTTTCAGCAATGAGAATAGTTAAGTGCCCAGCATGTCTCGGACATTTTGCAAGGCACTCTCTTCACGGGCTTAATCTCATATTCCTCACAGTGACCTCAAACACTATTATTACCCCATTTCCAAGATGACAGAGCTGAGGTTTGAGTAGGCCCCCCTGAGACCTGGAACGAGGGGCTGGGACAGCAGGAACACAAGCCATGAGTCAGCTTCTGTGATGTACGCTGGGGGCAAAGCTGGCAGGCAGAGGTGGTGAGAGGAGTGTGGCAAGGGTTCTGTCCAGTCTAGAGTTCCCCACACAGAGCCTGACTCCAGCGGAAGGCTCAGCGGGTCCAAATCCTGTCTTCACTTTCAGTCTGTTGGGCACCATGAGCGCAGGCACACGAAGTGCCCTGGCAGAACCAATTTCCAAGGCATTCTTTCACACACATCCAGGACCTCCAGAAATCCAGGGGGAACACTTGTTTTTACTTAAATAATGAACTGAGGGCTTTATGGCAACACGGACATTTGATGAGAATACCTGCATTGGCCATAGTGTGTCATTTGAACACACAACAGCTCTATGTGGAACCACTCCCTGCTCAAACTGCTTGTCCTGCCACAGATGTCCTTCCAGCTCCATCTGTGTGAATCCAACAAGCTCCCATGGGCCCCTCCTTAACTTTTGCTTCTCTTCCACAATAGTCCTTGTATTCCAGTATGAGTCACGTCTCCCTCTTCTGTGGTCAAGGTCCTTCGCTGCTGCTTCTATTATGCTGATCACAAGCTCTGTGTCGTTTAATGGATATCTCTCTCTTCTGTAGGACACCTTAAGCTCATGAAGCCTGCGATGCGCCCAGCACGTGGTCTGGGACAGAGCACATCTGCAGAACCGATACATCTGCATTTCTGTGAAAAGCCTCTTTCATTCTCTACAACAGACACCTGCTGCCCAGCTTAGGGTGGTGAAATGACGCAGCTGACTGTGTGTGCATGCTGAGGACTCGAGGACAAGCACAACACCCTGTCCCAGGCTCGCTGTGGCATTAC